GAGGACAGGTAAACAACACTAAGGATGCTGAGAAGCCATATGGAAAAATATTTGATGTGCTTGTTATATATGCATAAATAACATTATTTTATAAAATGGACTTTTATATAAATGCCATATTTTTAACTTTGTAAAAATTCTCTGTATAGATTTCAAAAGTGGCTCCTCCAGTTTTCTATCATACTAACAGTGAATGAAATTTTCCTATTCCTAGCCTAGCTGTTTTGCAAGTATTTGCATTCAGTTGCTGTCTTGATTTTAGCTATTATGACAGAGTTAGGAGATGATGAAATCTCAAAGTGATTTTAATTTATATTTTCCTAATTGCTAAAGATGCCAAATGGTTCTAACTATATTTCTTAGCCACTTTTACTTCTTCTTTTGAGATGTCAGTTTAAATCCATGCCCCATGTTTAATTGTTTCTGATTCTTTATTTTTTAAATTCTTTGGATAATTCTAGGTATTAATCCTCTATTATAGATGTATCTGTATGATTTCTCTTCACTTGATTGTTTTCTTTGCTAAACACATGCTTTTAAGTTCTGTGACATCTCACTTGTCATCCTAACTGAATTGCATCCTATTCAGAAAGTTCTTTTCTGCTCCTGTATCATGTGGGCTGCCATTTCTGTTTTCTCCTAGCAACTTCTTTGTTTCAAGTTTCACCTTGAGGTCATTGATCCATCTGGAGTCTAATCCTATTATTCTACATATGAAAATTCAGTTTGCACAGCATAGTTTGTTAGTGCTGCTGTCTGAAGGAGGCATGGGAAGACAGAAAGAACTGCCATGCCCACGAATTAATAGAATTAATATCGTGAAAATGACCATATTACCAAAAACACCTTGCAGATTCAAGTAGTCTCTTTCAAAATCACCATGACATTTTTCACAGAAATAAAAAACACCAAAACTAAACTAAACTAAAATTCATGATCAAGAGCAAATGACCATAATAAGTCTAGAGTGAAAGCAAAACAAAATAACCCCTGCCCAAAATGCTGAATGGATTACCATGCAATATTTCATATATGATGGAGCTATTGTATTAAAAACTGTGATGCTAGCACAAAAATAGACTCAAATGTGAATTTTATAAGTACTGCTACCTTATATTTGACAAAGAAATCCATAATACAATGTGTGTCCCTGTGCACACACAAATATGCCTGCAGGTACACTGCACTTGTGTACATATGCATGTAATGTCTAGAGTTTACAGCTGATGTCTTCTTCGTCTCAATCTTATTTCATGAAATAAGCTGTACCTTTGAACTTGCGATACACTGATTCATATCTGCAGGTCTGCTGATTCAACTATACTGTTATCTAATGTGCACACCATTATCTCTAGCTTTTTAAGAGTGTTTTGCATACCTGAGCTCACATCCTCATGCTTGCCCGCCAAGCATTTTACTAAGCCCTCTCTCCAGCTTCCCTTCCTTATAGGTGAATAAAACCCACTCTGTGTTTATATTATGCCCTCTTTATTCATCCTCCTGGAGGTAGAAATCTTGCCTGATTCTTCTGTAACATCACTATTCTCAATAACACTATAATAAACATGTGTACTGACTTAAGAGTCATTGAAGTACATATACAGGTTAGACAATGCTGAGTCATGCGGTAGGTTCTATTTTCAGTTTTCTGAGGAAGCTCCATCCTCTCTAATTAGCGTTCTCGCTAACAGTACTTAATGGTTTCCCTTTCCCCGCATTATCGCATTATCTCTAGCACATGTTACTAGTTGTTTTCTCAAAGATAACCATTCTGATTTTAGTGAGGTGAAGTGTAGCTTTTAATTTGCATCTCTCAGATGACAAGGAATGCTGAATATTCTTTCATGTGCTTATGGGCCACTTGTCATTCATCTCTTGTGAACTGTCTGTTCATTTCATTAGCCCATTTATTTAATTAAGGTGTTTTGTTTTTAATATTTACTTTACTCACTTTTTTCATATGTGGGTTAAAATATCCACTGTTAAAATATAGAGCTAGCAAATACATTCTCCAATTTTTTAGGTTGACTATATACTTATTTGTTTCATTTTCTATGCAGAACCTTTTCAAATATTTATTGATTAATTTATTTTTATGTGTATGAGTATTTGCCTGCCTGTACACATGTGCATGGCTGTTACCAACATAATTCTAAATATCTGTTGGATTCACTGTAACCGGAAGTACAGATGATTGTGACAAATTTGTGGGTGCTGGGAACCAAACCAAACTCCTTCACACAAAGAGCTTTTAGTGTCCATAATAACAACTATCACAACAAGCCCAGAACATTTAATAGTCTCCCTCCCTCCCTCTCTTCCTCCTTACCTCCCTCCTTCCCTCCTTCCCACCCTCCCTTCTACCTTCCCTCCCCCTCTCTCTTTTTCTATCTTTCTCTCCCTTCCCCCCTCTTCCTCTCTCCCTCCCTCCTCTGTCTTTCTCCCTCCTTCCCTCTGCTTCTCCCTTCTCTCTCCATCATTCCCCTTCTACCTCTGCCCCATGTGATCCATGATATATTATGCATATATGAGGGTGAGCTTGCCCATACATGTGCATACAGAGGACAGAGATTGCATAAGTGACCTCAACTGTTTCTCCAGATTATTTGGAGACAGCATCTCTCACTAATGCTTACTTCACTATTTTGGCTACACTGACAGGCAAGTAAACCTCCACCACCTGCCTATTGTTTTCCCTTCCTGCAAATGCTGAGCTTAAGCTTGTATGACAACACACCCAGCATTTCTGTGATGCTGGAGACCCAAACTCAGGACCTCATATTTGCTTAGCAGGCATGTAACTTTCCCAAGACTCTATTCAATTTCATGAAATGTAGCAAATGATTTCTTGATGTTATTTCCTGAACTACTGGAAGTCTATTCCAGAACATCTTAGCCTATGCCAATAACCTGAAAACAAATGACTTTTTTTTTTCCTTTAGCATTTTACTATTACCTTTTTTTTCTCTTACAATTTTAGAGTTACAGGTGTTACATTGAGATATTTGACCGATTTTGAGCTAACTTCTTTATACTGGGAATCATTTTCACTCTTTTGCATGTTGTATCCAGTCATTGCCTAGAGAGACTCTCCTTCTTTTTTTTTTTTAAACGTATTTTTTTAAATCTTTGGAAAAATCATGGCTGTAATTGCATTCTCATACTTAGGTCCTGTGTCCCACTCTGCATGCTGTTTTTCTGTGTCTGTTTTGCTTTTGTTACTGTGGTTCTGTCATAAAGCATGAGGTCATGTACAGTATTGCCTCAAACATTGTTCATTTTGTTAAGTTTTGAGATGTCTATGTCTTAGGATTCTTGCTAATATTAGCAGATCTTATTTCTCCCAGCAGTTTCTCAGAGTTTCTCATTTCACATCCTGTAATGTCACTGTTGCTTTGAGATTTAAAAATAAACACTATATTGCCCTGATACATTGTAATTGGATTGTAATCTCATCTTCAACATTAAATCCCTAACTTTCACCATTTTATTCTGTTTCCTTTCTTTAGGGAATTCCTAAAACAAAACAAAACAAAACAAATACAAAAAATAAACAAACAAAAAACCCAAACACACCTTTTGAGCAGTTAGTGGTAACTGGAACATTTATACTTTGCTAGAATGGGCCTATCATATTTCATGGAATCAAATAGCCTAGACTAATTTAGTTGTTATAACTATGTACTCAATTTTGAGCCACAAATCTACTGTTGAGTGAATATTCCAGAGAAATATTCACATTGCCTTTTTATTCAAAGATGTATTCTTTGTATGTGTACATGTATGGTGTCTTAAGCTCTTAAATCCTACTATTGACTCCAACAACAGAGAATACATATCATTTCCATTAAACAGTAATGAGTCATGTAAACTTTAATTAATAAGAAACCCCTACTTGATTTCTAACATGTACAATCAACAGATAATATACACTTTAAAAGAAAATAATATGGACATAAGAAGAAAGTACGTGCCTCTCTTCATTTCTACAAAATGGTGTTGATTAATGTTTAGAGAATGAGAAATAAAATTTCAGAAATACTGAAGATAACTAGCCTGCATACTTAATCTCAGATATTAACTTTTTTTTCATTGAAATATAAAAGCCCCCATATATTAAACACCACTAAAGATGTTCATATGGCAGTAAGTCATTGAAATAATGAAAGACCAGAAATGAAAATTACTTTTTTTAAATTAATTAATTATTCTTATTTTACATATCGATCCCAGTTCCCTTTCCCTCCCTGGGAGGGTTGGAAAATTTCTTTTGCATTGCTCTTTTCTGTGGCCTTCCTCTGATGCCAGCCAGCTATCAAGGAGATGAAGACATGATAAAGGAATGCATCTTCGTATTTCCACATAACCCATTCTCTATACTGTTAGCATTTGAAATTCTTAAATGAATATATTCACTAGCAAACCAAAGCAAGAAAACACAGAACATTAAATATTTGGCACTTTAATGTTTAAAACCATTACCTTAAATATGTTAAATACCATATCCCATAATGTACTGATTGGAGTTAAATAGATACTTTGTGGAAATATGAAGTGTTTTGATTTCTTTATAAAGTACTCTCTAATTAGTACACCATTGAAATTTTATGAGTAACTATTCTCTAAATCTTACAAAGCATATATCTTAATCATAAAATAAAAGAAAGGTTTATTTTAAGTTGGCCCTGCTGATGCAATCCTGTGTACTAAGCTCCATGGGAAGCTGATGCTAAACTACCTTATGTTTAGGACCACAGTAATACAGAGTGAGTCCAGAACATTGTGGAATCCTAAAGATTATACTTTAAAGTATAAGTAAATATACAAAAGAGGGCTGGAGATATACCTTAGTGGTAGAGCATTTGCCTGGTGTTGTGCATGAGACCGGATTTAACTCATAGTACCGTAAGTAACTAACTAACTAACTGAAGAGTAAAAATTCAAACAATTATTTTAAATATATAAAAGTAAGCAACTGAAACCAAAAATTAAATTAGGAAATGTGCCGCGTAAATTTGAATGCTCTGCTTTTGAAACCAGGTAAGGTTTGGCACTGTAGTTGACATGTAATTTTTGAGCTATTGCTCACACAGATAAGTCAGGGAAGAAAAGACGCCTCTTTAAATCTGCCACGAGGCCAAAAGAAATAGCAAGAGTTTCTTAGGGAGATTGCAGCATTGAACAGAAAGAGTATTGGAAATGGAATTTCGTTCATCTATGCTTCTTGATAGGAACATCATTAGAGTTAACCATAGAAAGACCAAATTTTAGTGTCTAAAAAGGCCTCCAAATTCAGTTTCTTAGTGTGGCAGAATGACAAAGAAGCTCTTCGAGTATCAGACTGGGACTAGCTTGAGCTTCAGTGTTTCTCATGTTACAGTTCCCTCCACAGAGTAGGAAGTAAAGAGCTGGGAAGGAACAAGTACCAAGGACGTTGGTCAGGAGTGCATTGTAATCACACAGTATGTAATGGAAAACACTGACGTGTCATTGCCAGAGTTCTGCTTGTAAAAGGGTATAAGGTAGGGAAAGATCTGAAGAAAGAGCTTTATCAAGCAGTCTACTTAAAGTTAGCTCTTAATATACTGATGACAAAACATTGAGGTGGGGCAGTAGAAGCCTGATGGCAACATGCTAAGTAGTAGCCAGTACATATTTAACTTTTTAAAAATGTATTTATTATATATATGTATTTATAATTTTTTCTTATTTTACATATTGATCCCAGTTCCCTCTCATCTTATTTTTAAATAGCTCTGTAGGACACTTGGCTTAAGTGAAATTTTAGTGTGTGGCTATTGAAGTCAATATACATATTCAAACCCTTCCGCATAGCTTTGATCCAGGTAGTGACTACATAAGCAAAAAAAATAGTAAAAACATTGCTGAAGTTGCACACAGGACAAGATGGAAGTCCACAGATCTATGACAGGAATGTTAGCAATTTTTCTGTAAGCTTTTGGAGATCTATTTTCTAAATATGTAAGTTTCCAAAGATTAAAAAATCAATATAGTATTCAGTAGCAACTTTTGCATAATAAATATAGTATATATTTTATAGCTTTGTGAGTAGGCAGACATTAAAAGTGATTGAATTAACATATATTTCAATGCCCACCTTAATATCCAATTTCTCTTTTTCACTCTACACAACACTATGGACAGAAGGTTTCCATGCATCTGTAGCAAAAGTAAGAAACTTTTCCCTTCATAAGTGCACTAGTTGGTGTTCGGGGACAATAAAGATGTCAAAGAGCAAGGCAATAATTATTTACAGGTGTTATAACTGATAAACATAGTGAGAAAAGCTTTTCTATGTCCCAAATGCAACCCTTTCCCATGGCCAGTTATATGGGATGACTCCAGCTTCAACTAGATAGACCTTTGCCTTACCATCTATTTCCTGCCCTGTTAACCCAGCCTCAGCATCACTTCCCAGCTATATGAGTGTAAATCACCGAGTCTGGTAAGCCCAGCACTGGTGAAGCTGACTGCCACTTACATTCATGCATGCTCGCATGCAGGCACACAAATTCAGAAATCATCTGTCCTGCAGGATCTTAAGCTTTGCCCTGTATCTTCCCACCAAATTTCTTGCTCTTTGCTCAGCTGCTATCATTTCTTGTCTGTCTCGTCATGCCTTACTCGTCTTTAACTACAGGACTTGGACTGACTCACTCTAACAAGTTTTAAGCACAGACTGAATCCCTTGACTTTACTCCTATTGATACCTTCAGTAGTTTCGTGGTGTGTATTTTCTCCTCAAACACATTTACACATATTTGTTTTCTCACAGGATGCATACTGTACGGGGTGCTTTCAGTTATCTATCTGAGGGAAGTATAGTAGAGATCCACATTTTTAATGAAAATATTAAAATGAAAGAATGAATAGATTGTATGATTATATTTAGAATAGCTTCTTTTGAACATTCTTAAGGACAAAAGAGTCATTTTCCTTAACATTTACTAATTGCAAATCTTTATACTTTGTATGACCCTTCCTTTTAGGATTGATTTTAAGATTCTGTATGGCATAAAAATATGTCATTTATTTTATTATATTTTAGGGAACTGGATGATTACTATTTTTCAGTATTTTATTTTCTCAGGAGTAATTCTACATGAACTAAAAATAATCGAAACTCAAGATATGTTTTACACTCATCCCTGTTCCCGGGACGGCTGTTTGTGTAGATGTTTTAAGTCGTCAAAGGACATGGTGTTCTTGTACTTAGGAGACCCTATGTTCAGCAGCTAAGGGCACCATTTTGTTCACAGCATCTGCAGTCACGTTGCATTTTCACCTTTTAGTTCTTGTTGGCAGAGGTTGCCTTGTAGCAGAATTCACATAGCTGTTTGCACGGTGCAGGTCCAGCCTTTATCAAAGCGATCCAAACCTTATGTGGAATCGCAGGACCTACTTTTCATTCCACTCATTTTGGTTTTCTGGTTCTGTCTTTTTTCAGAAATTGAGAAATTTCAAGGTTCAGATGGAAAAAAGGAAGACGAAGAAAAGAAGTATCTCGATGTCATCAGCAACAAAAACATAAAGCTGTCTGAGAGAGTATTGATTCCCGTCAAACAATACCCAAAGGTAAGGCAAGCAGCCTCCACTTTGTTCTCAGTGTGTTTGCACACAAACAAAAACATGGAGGTCTTCACCGCCTCTTGTGAGATAAACGTGGAAGGGGTTGCTGTATAAATATATGCAAGCACATGGTACCAGGGCACGAATTAAAACTGGAAGTACAGTGTTAAGCATTATTTCCAACTGAAGCCTAGTGCATTTTTTGGACACGGAAAGCTTTACATGCTTTAATCATTTATTCATCATGGCAGTGACTAATTATTACACCATATTATTAAGTATTCTTTTTTAATATATATATATATATACATACATATATGTATATATATGTGTGTTTGTGTCTGTGTGTGTTTATATAGATATGTATATATATATATGTATGTATTATTTCAAAAAAGAATAGAAAAAGCACAGCATTAGCTAATCATTAGAGAATTGTTGTATTCAGGAAACATTGTGTTACTGGGCTCTTGATTTTTACATTCTTGTCATCCATTATCAATTTTAAAACTAATTATTGTATTGTTTCCAGTGTAACACAACTTTAAATACTTTTGTACTAATAAGTGATTGATTATAATATAATATAGCATTCATTAACCAGGTTTCATGGGTGATATTAATTTCAGTGGATAAAAAGGGTTTCTATTTTGGCAAATAAAAGGAATAATCTAAAAATAGTTCACATAAATCAAGCCGATGATAAACTTTCCAATGAGTGAATTTGAAGCAGGAACCATATAATTACCTTAATAAATAAAGACAACAGAAATGATGGCTATAGTTTACCAATTGCCTTTTAATGTGATAAAGTATAAAAAATATAATTAACTCAAATGCTTTGTTTACAGTCACTAAAAATACAGAAAAAGCTGTTATATCAACAAACCATAAAATTTAGCTTTCAGATGATAATTTTAAGGAGTAAATAATTTTGGTTTTTTTTTTTTTTTTTTTTTTTTTTGTTAAAGCAGGCTTAGTCTGTGGGAAGAAGTGCATGATCATTGGGAATATATATATATATATATATATATATATATATATATATATATATTTTCATGAATGTTATTTGATTTTTTAATATAAAGTCGGGCCATCACATGAAAGTGCATGAAGGGTTTTGTTTTTTCTTGCATAGCAATTGCTTATGATATCGATGTAGACCATGATAGCAATGTAGACCAATGGTGGCTTCTATTAACTGATTATATTTTCAACTAGAGGATCCTTCCCTTAATCTACTAGTAAATACGGCATGACTTCATAGTGTCCCTTGAGATGACACTTGTCAGTCTGGGTTTGTGAAAACATGATAGTAAAATGTTTCTCTTTCACCTCTGGCCCTAGGTCAGTGACAACATGAAAGACATTCAGAGACATGAATTATGTATTGTTAATTGGGTATATTGTCAGTGCTGAATATGAGAATATGAGTTTATAATTGATTTATAATGTCAACTATTAAAGTAGGAAATTATGTAGCATCATATTTTTATATGCTGTGAAGATTTTCAAACCGTGAAAGTTTGGAATTTTTTTTTTTTACTTAAGTGTTTTGGAATCAGAATGCTTAAGCTAGGGTTAGTGCTGGAATGCTACAAAATATAAATATGTGGCATCTATGCTAAAAATATGTGACATCTATTCTACACATCAGAAACCTGGAATGCTGTGGATTTTTAAAACAATATTTTTATTGGAGATATTTAGTACATATATTGTTTCCTTTGTGGAATATTTATTTATATTTTTAGCTTGACTGATCCTGTGTAGAAGAAGTTGACAGCTGATAGCCCCAATGATAATAGTGTATAAAGTAGTCTCACGATAACTCATGCTTCAGAAAATACTCATTGCTCAATAGCATGCCAGTGCTTTTAATACTTTCTGTCAATATCTGTTCTATTTATTGACCACACAGATAAGAACTCTAGATCCCTTTATCAAAGAGCATACCATGAAAGAGGCTATCTAACTAACTCTATCCTGTTTAGTCATCTATCAATATTAGCCTATTTGGTTTTTATAATTCAATGATAAAGTTATATTTCCAAAACACACCCTGTTGCATCATTTTATATAATCTTTTCAAAGCTCACTGCATTTATTATAATGTATTCTCTCTGAGTACTTATTGGCGCTTCTCACAGAATATCAGAAATATTCCATTTTAACCATTGAACTTTCCTAATGTACATTCATGAGCTTAGTTATCATGATGTGTAGGGTTACTGTGAAACACTGAGCAGAGCCATGGCTATAAAATTTAATCTTAGATATTAAAATGTGATTTCTCCTTTGTGGATGGGCTCTCCAGAATGGCATGCATGCTTTATGCAAGGCTCCCTGAGACTCATCTCTACCCTTGATGCCTGCTGTCTGTTTGCACCAGTAATTAAGGTGTTGATGACACAGTCCTTTCAAACAAAGGGCAATAAAGAACTGTGGGAATTCTTAGGGGAAATGACCTTATCATGACTTTACTAGATGACCTTTCTCAGATAGATTTTGTTTCAATTAGTCTCCAACTTCAAGCTAATTTGCTGACTTTAGTTGAACACTACAAGGAATTGAAAGAAGTTTAATATCTTAAATTATAGAAATTATAAGAATGCTGTGGACGCATTTTTAATAATGACTTGTCTAGCGCTAGCATTTTATTTTTATTGATTTAATTTAGGAAAAATAGGCCATGTTATCAGATAATTTTAATGGACACTTTTTAATATTTTGGTGACAAGATTTATATAAATGTATTTAGGAATCTTGCAAAAAAAATGAGATTGCATTTTTGTTGCATTCTCCACAGGAATGGATAACAATAGTAGATATTAATTTTGTTCCCTGTAATAACTTCTTTGTTTAAATATTTTTTTAACTTTATTTTATGTGCATTTGTGTGAAGGTGTCAGATCCTCTGTTGCTGGATATACACAGTTGTGACCTGCCATATGGGTGCTGGGAATTGATCCTGTCTTCTCTGGAAGAATAGCCAGTACTCTTAACCTCTGAGCCATCTCTCCATTCCCTAATGTAATAAATTCTTATTGTCTATATATATTCAATAACATCAGAGAATTTATTTAAAATATAGACAAGACTTTCTCTATTTCTCTCTCTCTCTCTCTCTCTCTCTCTCTCTCTCTCTCTCTCTCTCTCTCTCTCTGTGTGTGTGTGTGTGTGTGTTTTGGAGAATACCCATGTGTACATGTTTGTAGACATAAGGGTAAACCAGGATGTCATCCTGTTGCTGTGATCAAACACCATGACCAAGGGATATTATAAAAGAAAGAAAGAGTTTACTTGGGGTTAGGGTTTCAAAGGGTTAAAATCTATGGCCATCATGGCAGCAGGGGCAGTAGGCAGGCAGGCACAGCTCTGCCCCAGACCTCGAGGTCTGGCATTGAGACAAAAATCATGAAGCAGGAGGGTGGACTAGAAATTATGTGGGATTTTGAAACCATAGCCTGCCCAAGTGACACACCTCCTCTAATAAGCTGTACATCTTAATCCTACCCAACCATTTCCATCAACCTGGGACTGACTGAACTTTCAAACATATGAGCCTTTGGTGACATTTTCCTTCAAACCACAACAATACGTGAATGAATATTTCTATGCCTGTTGTAGTTCTTTCAGTATAAATTTAGCACACACTATCATATAATACCCAGAAATTTGTCCTCTAACATGAATGAAAAACTCATCAAATAAAAATAAAAATTGGGGGGAGAATCAAGAATTTTATCAAATGGAAAACTAGTGCATTTTCTATTTTTTTTTGAAATATGTAGATATAATGTTTAAATAAAGATCTTATCAGTTTAGGGGACATCAAACATTAAAAATCAACTTTATTGACAACAAAATCCAATGCCAACCAAGAAGTGCCAACTTCTACCACCAAAATGGTGGCTAATATGAAGGCAATTTCTAATTAAAAAAAAAATGAAAAATACAGATGGAGGGTTTTTACCTTTTTACCATTCTGTAAGAATGCTTGAGAAAATCTTACAAATTAGGGGCTGGTAGATAATAGATAATAACTTTCAGACCTATGAAGAATTGAATAATGCTTCAATAGTGATAAATAAACAAGGTATAAATACAAGCGTAATCATAAGATTTGTTACTCTCTTTTTCTACTTAATTTAATCCCAGATACTCAGGGAATGGGGAATTTAAAATTTCATACAGGAGAACAAACAGCATTGTAGAACCCAATCACACCCTTATAAGTTCATTTGTGTCCATGAATTATAGATACGAATACATGTAATTTTCATGTGCACCTTCATAAATTTCAACGTTGGACAAACAAAACCACCACTTCCATTGTCCTATTCTCTGTCATTAATTTCTCTCAAGTTTCTAATGGCAGTAGCCTCTTGTGTGTTCTCGTTTCTACAATAGCATCTGCAATCTCTTCATAGCAGATATGGATCAGATTGGGCCTTTCCTTTCCATATTGAGAGCACGTAGAACATCCCTTCTCCATGTTGCATGGGAAAATGGGACTTTCTGTGGCACAGATGCCTCCGTCTTTTTTTGTCTTGACACTCACAGTATCCTTCACCTCCTCCACTTTTTCTTATCTCCACAGTGTGCATCACCTTTCAACACATTTGGTACTTTTCTTATTTCCTGCATGAAAGCTGCCTCCTGTGATATAGGGAGCATGATGGCATGTTGTTGTGTTGTTCAGTCGGTCTTTTGTTTTAATTATGTAGAAATGCTTAAGCACAAAATATTTTCAGAGTACACACAAGTAAATCTGTTCTGGGGTATTCTTGCTAGTGTAAACACAGTATTTATGAAACAAGGCTAGAATATAGGTCGTCAGATCATCCCCATCTTATAGACTTTCTATGAATCCTGTCCAGGTAGCAGTCACCACAGACACTCAGAAAGATCCATCCTGATGATGCCATTGTGACCTGACCACTGCTCTATTCTTGCCACAGAGTCCTCCTACAACAGTAAAATAATTCTAGTGGAACATTTAC